AAGTCCCCATGATGGGTAAGGAAATGTGGGCAGAGGTAGGACGTTGTACACAGGAGAGGTAAAAGGAAGAAAATACCTGCTCATTTCTCCCTGCTGTTATGGGCCCACATTTAATATTTAACATTTTTGATAGTGGTATTTAATTTATAGTTTTTAAAACAGAGTGGGTGGGGAGTAATAAAGACGGAAGCAAAAAGACAAAGAGCAAAAATTGTTTGTGGATCTGTGCATATGAGGTAGGGTTGCTAGTTTCCCCGGGGGGGGGGTTGCCCACTCGACGGGCCCCTTACCCACCGGCCCAGATCCAGCCACCAGGGGGAACCCCACCCCCAAAGTGCCAGGATCGCAGCGACGTGCCCAGCATGGATGTCACCTGGAGGTGATGTCATTGCGCCAGGCACATTGCAGGGGGACACCCTATCATTCAAGGGAAAACACTATGTTTTCCCCTCAAACGATAGTGGTCCCACCCCCAACGCGTCGAAGACGTCTCGGAGAGGGGCTTGTCATTGCGCCAGGCACATTGCAGGGGGATGCTTTATCATTCAAGGGAAAACACTATGTTTCCCCCTCAAATGATAGTGGTCCCGCCCCCAACGCGCTGAAGAGGTCTCGGGGAGGGGCCGGGACTCCCCCGCTGCAGTAAAGGTAAGACCTGGCAACCTTAATATGAGGTAATCATTGTGATACCTCATGACAACTATCTATGCAGTTCAAGTGGTACCAGTCTGCATAAGAATTTAGAAAATCAGTGTGATGTAGGTGTTACAGTGTCAAGTTAGGAGTCTGGAGTATGGGGTTCAAATTCCTAAAGATGGATGGCCAGTCACATTTCGCAGGAATGTGGTGAGGATAAAATGTGAGGAAGATAGAACCATCTATGCTGCCTGAACAAATGAAATACAGAAACTGATAGAAACACTGGTATATTGTTTATTTATATCTTGTGTTTCAATTAAAATCATCAAGGCAAGGCAGCAAGAGAACCACTGAGATCCAGACTAAAAACACATTAAAACAACATCAAAAAGACAGCAACAAAGGCCAGTCAGGATAGAACTAATAAGGAATCAGCAGGAGCCCCTTAAACTAAGCCATCAAACCAAGAATTCAAGACACCCCAAACGCTCTTTCAAAATGTGTTGCTTTGGCTACTCTCAGGTGGTTGCTAACAGGAAAAGAAAAAGATGGTCCTCCTTCAGAAGGAGGTTCCATAACTTAGATGCCACATCAGCATATGGGAACTACAATGGTGCCAGACAAATGTAATTTTTACCTCAGATGATACCACGAAACACTGTGGTATCTGTGGTAAGAGCACACACTTTTGTGCCACATCAGCATATGGGAACTACAATGGAGCCAGACAAATGCAATTTTTACCTCAGATGATACCACGGAACACTGTGGTAGAATAAGAGCACTCACTTTTATTGGCTGATACAGTATTTTGCTTTTCTAAATATTTCTAGTGACTGACAGAAATGCAATGGAACATCCTTTGAATGGGTGAAAACATATTTTTTAAAAGTCAGTAATAAAAATGAGTGTCATATTTAGACCTAAACCTACCATAGCATTTTGCTACATACGCTACATACTTTTAAGCAAATGATCTAATCCTCAAACAGAATTGTGGGAAGAAATAAAAGATAAATCCTTATCCTCAGATGCAGAATGTTGAAAAAAGGCTAGGAAAATGGACATGATTTTCAGGTAAAAGTTTTTTTGTTTTGTTCTTAGCTATTTTTAAAATTTTATGTATTTATTTGAAACATTTTAAGGCACCTTTCCACCCAATCAGAGTCCCCAGGGTAGGAAACATAAAAACATCAGAACACCTAAAGAGTTAAAATTATAAAGTTAAAATTATAAAACCACATAAAGAAACAACACCAGAACCAGGGAAGAAGGCCAATAACTGTTATTGGGGGGCACGCCAAAAGAAACATAAAAAGTCTTCACCTGCTGGCGGAAGAATCCAATAGAAGGAGACACGAATATTTACTACACTTGTCCCTTATGACAATTAAATGGCAAAAGTTCAACAATTTGCCATTCCTTCAAAGGATGTGAGATAAATGAGCACATTTCCAAGCTATTCTTTTTCACTCTCAGTGGAACACGTGTTCAGTTTCTCCTAACCCGTTCCAGTGACATCACTGAGGCTACTTCACAGGAAGACATTGAAAGACTGTGAAGTTCAAGCCTCCTCATACCTTTACCAAAGTTGGTGGTTTCAGTACGCCCAGTTCAGCAAAGGAGGGAACAGATGTGAATCCCACGTGGTATGGGCCAGTGGGATTGCAGACACATCTATATGCCTTAATTCAGTCATGCAATATAAGAAAAACTGGGGATAGACGACCTAAAGAAGGTATAAACATTCAAATGCTATAATGTATATGCAAATATAATCAATTTTATACTAAAGCTTAATACTCAGAATGTACAAAATTACAATATTAGGGCATAATAGCCAGAGGTATACAAAATTACAGTACAACTTCATCAGAAGCAAATCAACATGTATTGTGTCTTGATATCTCTTGGTTTATAATGTCACTAGCCCTTAGTTTCTATGGAAAATCTCTCATGTTGGACCTCTCTGCATAATGCTAAGCTCAAGGCTAGAAACTAAGGGCTAGTCTCACTACCATCTATAGCAACCTGAGAGGAGAAGGTGCTTCTATGAACTAGGAAGGTGACATGTTGATTTGCTTCTGATGAAGTTTCACCACGAAACGAAGTGAAAACTGGCTGCTTTGTTAACTGCTTTGTAAACTGCTTTGTAAATTGGTTCTATATTGCTGAACTGTTTCTATATTGCTGCTACATTGTTATGTACTGATTAATGAGCTTTTGTACTGTAATTTTGTATACCTCTGGCTATTATGCACTAATATTGTAATTTTGTACATTCTGAGTATTAAGCTTTAGTATAAAATTGATTATATTTGCATATACATTATAGTACTTGAATGTTTATACCTTCTTAGGTCGTCTATCCCCAGTTTTTTCTTATATTGCATCCTTTATACTGGGAGGTCTGTGTTTCCTGTTTGTGCAGTTTTAATTCAGTCATGTGCATATACATTCCCATATTTGTGCACATGATATATATACCTAGGAAATAAGAAATGCATGGAGAATGTGCCTCATTTGTACATACACAATGGAAGGAATAAACAGGAGACTCTGCATGGGAGTACAGTCACATTAGGTCTGATTGCCATATATCATTGGAACTGATCTATTTTTCCCTTTCTAAAATGGCTGGTGAGAGTACTGAGTTCTGCTTTGGCAAAAATACATGATGATACATGAATTAGCAGTTCGAGATTTGGTTAAGGGACCTGTTAGCTGATATCCATCAGGTTCATGACCCAAGTATTTTTCTGTGCCACATCCTTGAGCACTAATTTCTTCCATAATGTGCAGAATTCCTTAATGGTGTGCCTCAAGAAAAATGTAATTTGTCCTACAACTATGTCTAGCATTGGTACACCTCAGCCTCTCTTTCTCCTTCCATGGAGACCGTGTAACTTAATCTGGTCTTGCAGGTAAATCCAAAAGGTATACCATCCTACAGAAAAATGTAGCGCCTTTTGTGTTTTTCAGGACAGTCTCATTGCCCCAGAATCAGTTAAAAGACTTTAAATATGCCTTTAGTATCTGGAAGAAGTAGACTTATCCAATTATAACAGCTTCAGTTGGTTACTATTCCACTTACATTCCCTTCTGTGTCATATGATGAATTAAATCAATAGGCCTGGCAAGCTGCTCACTTGAAAGGAATTCTTACTAGCCCTGGATGATGGGCTAAGTCCCAGACTGGTTTTAGTTAAGAAATTTTAGAACTGTTAACATCAGCTGGGACTAGGGCTGCCAAGTCTCCTGATCTGGTGGGAAGCCTCCCACCATTACCCAGCCTTGCCCACCACCATGCCAAGCAGCAGCGGAAGAAAAAAAAATGCCATCCTACGTGTCTCTACTTCTCTTCCAGGAAAGACCTGGAAGTGACATAGGGTAGCACCAGGCGCACTCCTGGAAACTCTATTGTAAAACCATAGAGTTTCTAGTGATTCCTAGAAGTACCCTATATCACTTCCAGTTTTTCCCCAGAAGTGATGTATAGATACACAGGAAGTTGCAGCTGCTCACTGGAGCCTCCCACCATCTGTTAGGCACACCCTGGCAATACTAGTTGGGAAGCATGCTGAAAGGTTTTTTTTAACAGGAAAAGAATGAACAGGGGCATTTTCTACCTTACACACTCGTCCCTGTTTTAAGCAGAGAGCAAAGCCCAAATGATTGTGGCAAATGCATTTGCAGCTGGAACAAACTACTTGCTCAGCAGGCAGCCATCACCTTCCCACAATGAAAATACATAGTTAAGATTTTCTCATCTGGAAGGCAGGACGACAGGATGTCTAAAGCACCACCCACATCATGCACTGCTACCGTCACATCACATAATATCAACAGAGATGCAAGGAAGAATAAAGTGCTACTAGATAAAGTGCTGATTATGATGCACCTTGCTCATAAACCGCTGATTTTGATGCATCTTCCCCATTATATGACACAATGAGATTACAGAGTGCAGGAGGAGTTATGTCTGAAAATAAAACACTGCCTCACAATTCAACAGTTTTCATTCACTATTTACAACACTTTTTTTTGAGGCATTAGGATTTGGTAGGCAGTCTTCATAGTGGGAATATTATTTTGCATTTGACAACAAACCTTTTGCATCGTCCTCTAGCATGCCAGATATTGCCAATGGCAAAATGCTACTAGACAGCAAAGACCATAGGTGAAATCCAATCCAGCAGTTTCATTTCCAGCTCTGCACATGATAAAGGATTTAAAGGCACGGGACAATAATGCACGGATTAATTATTTTTATGCAAGGGAAAATACTTCTGTGCTGAACAAATCTCATTGCTGACATTTTCTCTGCCTCATATCGCTGTTAGTAGTTAAATGACACTTACTTTGTTATACGGTCAATGTTAGCAATTTGCTTCTGATTCCGAATGATTTCTATAGCTGCCCAAAGATGCTGGATAGCTTTTGTATCTGCTTGCCGTCGTTTCGTTAAGCGTGCCATGACCCCTTCTGCTTGTTTAGCTGGAGTAGATTTTTTAAAAAGAGAGAGAAATAACAATAATGAATTATGAAAACACATTACCGGATGATTATCTTACACCTGCCTCAAACAAGATTATGAGAGAAATTACATGAACTACAATAATCTGGTTTGTACGGTTTCTTTTTTTGCAGCTCTATCAAACAATAGCTGGGTGTTTAGACAGTGGTACAGGGATGGCCAACATTTGCATTTTCAGGTACCACTTTATTCTACAGACTGTGGTCTGGGAGCCAGATGTGTCTGTTACTGCACAAACAAACCCCCTGACAAATGGTCAGTCTCCTTAATGATGCTGGTACCATCTAGCATGAAGAGCTACATGCAACACACAACTATAAATATTTGCATACATGTCATGTCTGTGTTGCATACAAACCCGGGGTGTGTGTGTGTGTTTAAGCGGAATATCTCCATCTTTCACATCCTGAAAAGCATTTTCATTCCATGGCAAATGAACCTGTGGCCAAACCTTTGGCCAGATCCTGACTCAGATCTGGTGCACCCAAAGGCCAGGTACAATAACCTGGAGGGCTGCATCCAGTCCATATGCTCCCAGTTGGCCATCTCTGCCCGAATCTGTTTACATAATCGGTTTCCCCCCATATATATTAGTGTCAAGAGCAAATTAACCAAACAACAATACAAATGTGGAATGCCATCATGCTTACAGCATATGAATATCTATCAGGGTTTCACAATGTGCCACCCTACATGTAGAAATGAAGTGCTTGGGTATCCCCAGGAGGAAAAAAAGAAAGCTTTACTCATGACTGACAAACTGAAGAATGATACAGCGCCAATATAAAGAGCGGGTTCTGAATGCTGACAGCCAATGCGGCATAATGGTTAGAGAGCTGGACTGGAGAGACCTGGGTGTAAGTCCTGAGTCATCTCTCAAGCTCACTAGGAGATTTCTAAAACCAGACATTCTCTCTCCGCCTAATCTACCTCACAAGAAATTGTTGGTATAAACTGGAGGAGGGCTAGAGCCATGTTTGTTACTACCCTGAGCCGTGGAGGAAGGGCTGGATAAAAATGTGATGATGTGAGAGCAGGGGGCGAGAGTTAGGCCTACAGGAAAAAATGTGCTGCCAGCAGAATTATATACTGACAGACAGAACCTGAGAGACAAAAACTGTTCCGACAGTGTCCATTAAGAGCCCCACTGAACTGCATGTGGCATACTTTACAATGACTAGGCAGACTGTTCATCATTTACACTGCATCCTAGTGTGACCTCTCAAAATTGGCTCGGGAAGAGTCTTGCCTTTTAAGATTTCAAGAGGGAATGGGGGGGGGGAGCAGAATGGAGCTACATTTGAGGAGAAACTGAGGAAGTGTCTGTGGCAGCTCTCAGGATATCCAGCAGGCCTTGTATGCCTTGGTTCAGGGTTGGGCCTACCAGGCAGAAGATCCTGAGCTACAGTTTCACCTCAGTTAAAGAGGCTACCTCAGCAAGCAGCACAAATCGTGGACTTTAAACTAAAAAATGGGAACACGGCTGTACCCTAATTCATACCTTCATAAATATACATTTACTCTTTATTTGATTCTATAGGTTTCTGTTACTGCCTCTCATTTTCTTTGATGTAAGTCCCTGAGAGTGTGGTTGAAGAGAACGCATATTAGCGGAGGTTGTGATTAGCCTGCAACCTGAACTGAACACCAAAGCTCTGGTTTAGATATCCTTTGCCCCTCAGGAATTCCAAGATGTGGGAAAGGCTTCCATTCACCACCATTCTAAACAGATGGAAGGGCAGAAGAGGCTTTAGACTTGAACTGCCATACTGTGTCATGGCCAATCACCGGGGAGGGGGGGGAGAGAAGAACCACCACAAGAGCCCTACATTAACCCATCTTCCTCTGATATGCGCTTTTTCTTAAAACCATCTGATCAGCACTTGCTCTGGGAGCAACAATTAGCAAATTCCTTTATGTGAGCAGCCAGTCACCTATTTGATCATGCCAAAGCACTAGCAATAGGTGCCTGCTTGTCCCAGCTATTTAGTGATGGAAGAATCCACAGAGCCACATTTGGCTGCCCCCCGTCCATCCCCTGGCGAGCAGCTCTTTAAATGCAGAACAGAGAGCGTGTGGTTTCATGTCCTGGGTTTTGGCAGCCCAGCACTTATGGCAGCTATCCATCCAGAGAGTGGGTAGCTACCACTGAGAGCACAGCAGAGCGGAGAAGGAGTGCCTGGAACACTCACCATTTCCAAGGCTATTAGTGCATTGTTACGTTTGTAAAGGAATGTTTCTGTGCTACTTGAGCTGAATCTTCCCTCTGTTGTAAACCGTCTACAGTACTCTCCATTTTACACAGTGTTCAAGAGTTTTTTTAAATGAAAGTGTGTTCTAGCCTGTAGTATAATGGGCGTAAATGGAGAGCGCTTACTTTCCAACCCCAAAGTAGACATGAATTCACAGAAAGACATCTGGCACATCTTTCTGTGATAATAGTGAACTATCACATAGGATTGTTATGAAAATGAAAAAGGTAATCACAGCCAGATCTCATGCTCTATGGAAGCTCCAATACACATGAAGTTCTTGCATGTGCAAGAGTGTTTTTTTTAACTGCTTTAACATCTGATTTTAAAAGATCAAAAGCACTTTAAAATAAGCCAGACTCATACTTCTGATAACAATTTTCCTTCCTTCCCTATTAAAACAGAAAATAAAAAGGCAGACGTGCAGTCATGGTGTCTATATGTGTCGAACACTCCTTTTCAACTTGTTTTTCTTCATAAAATAGCATTGTCTAATTAGTTCATTTATACCTTTCCTTTTCCCTCTACGGGAACCCAAAGTGGCATACACTGATCTCATTTTATCCTCACAACAACCCTGTGAGGTATGTTAGGCTAACAGTGCATAATTGGCCCACAGTCACCCAGCAAGTTTACACTGCGTAGCAGGGATTCGAACTGGGGGTCTCCTAGATCTTAGTCCAACAGTCTAACTAGTATCTTACACTAGCTCTCTTGTTACTTAGCACTCCTGATGCATAAAAAGGAAGGAAAAAAGACAATGCTCACATACAAAAATGGGAACTACGAAGAGCCAGAGAGAATCCCAGTGGCTGATCAGGCATATCAGCCGCCAAGCAGTCTAAAAGTAGGTTCCAGATTCTTTAAATGTTTTCAATCCTTGTCTTCTTTTATAAGTAAATCCTCTGCTTAGAAGCTATATTTACCTTTTCTGCTACCCAAGTGGGGGTTATTAAGGCGGCAAATAGTTCTGCGCAAGCCATAGGAATGCATAGGCAGAGCGGTTCCCTGCAGTAAAAGGAATGGGGGAAACCTTTCATATGTGGGAAGTGTTTGCACAATACTGAAATCCCCAGACTAGGGTGGCTTCGCTGTAAAAAACCCCCACTTTTCCACATTAAAAAGAGCTATATAAATTATTGCAAGACACCGAGAGTACAATTTCAGTTTTAAATGCACATCTCCTGCAAATGTAAAAAAGTAGAAAGTGTACAAATGTACAATATGTTTCTCAGTCAGACCCTTAAAAAAAATATCTCTCTTCAGCCGCCCCTGAGCTCTGTGCTGCCATTTAGCCAGCCAACTAACCATGAGAAGTAACATAACAAGCAGCTGGCTCTGTTTACAAAATCTTCTAGGAGCTGCAGGCAAAAGATACAGATAAGCCATAAATTGCCCACAATGTTGTTACAGGCAAAGAATCCGACCCCTTTAAAAAAAAAAAGATTAATGATGCATTTTGATCACTACATAACTTAGTTCTAAAGGTACTCCTTTCAAAGTGAGAAATGGCTGATATACAGCTGACGCTAACATATACACAATTTACTCCAGACATCAATGTCTTAAATACGAACCCCTCCAAAATAGAATACTTACAGTTGGCAGGGGAGATCTTTAAAATAAAAAAGCATCCATAACATAAGCACAGCTCACATCCTACTGTTATTGTGCTATCTGCACACGGCTCCCGCAGGACTCGGGATTCATAACTGGAGCCAGTTAGCACATCTGTATCCCATCTTTCTTCCAAGACACTCAGGGTGGCTTAAAAGTGGTTCCCTCTCCCCCTCTCATTTCTAGTTGAAGGAGCATCTTGCTGTCAGTTGGCATACTGTGGTCCGCCAGGGTTAGAGGCAGTGCATGGCATTCATGTTTCACATTTGTATTGGTGCTTGTGACAGCATTCTACAAGGCAGCCCATAGTCCTACTAACGTGCATTTGATTGCCCATGGATTTAACACTTCTCTCCAGTTTAGAAAAGGCTTGTCAAAAAAAGGACGCGTTTACTCTAACTTTAGTATCAATGCATCTGTCATCTTGCTCTGATGGAAAGATTTACACTTCAGCCAATTCCGTTAGCACAAAATGGTACCCGTTTATGTCGTTTGTAAAGTAAGCGCCTTCTGTTCGACAATTTTCTTTGCGGTGTATGTCAGGGGTCCCCAACGTGGTGGCCACGGGTGCCATGACGCCCACCAGCACCATTCCTGGTACCCACCAATGTTTTTAGAAAGTGGGCCAGGCCGGGCAGAGCCGTGCACGGCAAAGCTTCTGACTGGCCACCGAAGATTTGATTGCCTGTGCGGATTTTTAAAAGCACTGCTCTGGCAGCACCTGCCATTACAGCACAAGGTTCTTTGCTGTGTGACTGAATACAAGCTGTGGCGGCCATTGTGTGTCTGGCTCCGCCTTTTATGGCAGTCATTTTGTTGCTGCATGCACCGCACTCTACCAGAATTCCAAAGGTGCCTGCTGGCTGAAAAGGTTGGGAACCCCTTATGTAAGATGATACGGACTGTATGATTTACTAATCGAAGCAAGCTCACAGTAAACCTACAGCCGTTATTTTATTAGATAACTTATACAGTATACCATGGAGGGGAATGGCTTCATGTATATAGAAAGTCCCAGGTTCAATCCCTGGCATCTCCAGTTAAAGGACAAGGCAGTAGGTGATGTGAAACACCTCTGCCTCAGACCCTAG